TTGTTAGTGTTGTTTCAGTCATCTTTGTGTTACAGACATCAACCTAGCTCCCTGACTGACAGTAGGGAAGGTTCCATTTTCCTTTGTTGGTCTCATCATTCAGCTAAGTTTTACCTAACTGTCCCCCAAGAACCAGCGCTCACAGCATATTATAGTAATAGTAATATCTCAGTGTATTATATTCATAGTATATAACATATACTCATTCACAGTATATTATATTCATAGTAATCAATACACATAGAGTGGAGTGAAACACAGCATGTAACACAGTTGAGGAGCCAATTTTCTTATTCTCCCAGGTCTTGATGATATAACATCATTGTGGAGGTAAGCTGTGTCTGAGCTGTATCTCACTAGTAGCAGAAAGACCCTGATAGCAAAAAATCCCATGAAACTCACTGAGGCAATCTAGGTTAACTGGATGGCCTGACCTCTGCTGTGTTACAGAACACTTTATTTTTCACTGCACCATGACACTGGGAAGCAGAAAAAAATTTAGGACACTTGGATTACTTTAAGATCATCATCACTGGAGCTCCACTTTGTTCTCTGAATTGTTGCTCAGAGGCTTGTGTAATCCATTTAGGCCTTCTTCATTACCTCAAAAGTATTGTTACTTAGGCTCAGTTTGGTGTCAGAACCAAGAGTTAAGTTCAGAGTGTCTTAAAGTAGTAAGAGTTGTTGGGAGTAGCTTATGCCTTTTCCTCAGTTATTTCTTAGCAAGTGGTAATTTCAGTGATAAGTCACATTCAGACAATGGAACTGAGCATTCCTCCTGCCCAAGTCAGTGGCTCTGAGTTACCTGTCAGCTATGTATGGAGCTGCACAGATGTGAAATGTATCATGCTCAGGATCAAAGGATCTCTATTTGAAAATATCAGTATTTAGAAGAATCAAGATGATCTGTATAAATGAACTATCATCATTAGCTACAATTACACACTGTGTTAAAACATGCTACAGAATTATCATTTTCATGCTGTATTAAATATATTTATACTCACCTAATCTTGGGAGCTAAGAATTTTAGGGTGACTAGGACTTGGAGATTGGCCATCCTGGGCTAAATTTGCACCCACTGCTTCCCAATTTTATTGCATTGGATTTTGTCCATTTGCAATCTAATAATTACTGGCAATTGAAACACATCAGCAAGCTAACCTACCCCACTGAGCTGAGAAGATTCTGAAATGCTGAGGTAGAAGAATATTGAAATGTCAGCATGCTGCAATTACAAGCAGCTGTCGTAAGAGTCAGATATAATGAATTCTTTTCACCTTCGAGGATAAAATTGGCAGGTATAGAATTTTATCTTTGGATAAAAGTTGCTTAAGGAAGGCTTATTTAGCAGTTTGTTTTTTCTAATAAAGTGTGAGATAGTATTCTCTCTTTAAGTGTGTGGTGGTTTGGGTGGATTCATCCTTTTGGCTTGCACCCTGCAGCCAAACACAGCCTGCTCTCTCACCCTCCCTCTCCCTTGTCCAGGGAGTAGGGGAGAGAATTGGAAAGAAAAGGGCAAGGAAACTCACAGGTTGAGATAAAAACTACTTACTAATTAAAATAAAATGATAATTATAACAGTGATAACAGACTATAAAAATGAGTGATACACAGTGCTCACCACCCGCTGACCAATGCCCGGCCTGTGCCAGCTAACGATCCCGGAGCCCAGAGAGAGTCCCAAAACCAAAAACCTGGAAGAGTGAGCCCAAGCGATCCCCAAGAGAATACCCCCATCTTCCGGTCAACCCTGGTCAATATACTGAAATGACGTGATATCATATGGAATATTTCATTGGCACATCCAGATGCCAGTTTTGGGCTTTGCTGTTCACTGCGCTTCTCCCTCCCAGTCCTAATGCAGCTGTGAACCAGCCAAACACGGTGGCCTTGAGCTCCAGCAGTAACTAATAACACCAGTACTGTTATTAACGTTCTTCTCATAAGTCTGAACTGAAACACTGAAACTAAAATGCAGCTATTCTAATTACTAAAAAGAAAATTAACTCTATCTTAGCAAAACCAGGACAAAGTGCTAATGTTTTTTCATGTGGAAAAAGTTAATATTCACACTGCCCTGGATTAACAGGCATGTCATATATAAAACACATATAATGTTGAGAAGAAGGCTAGGTTATGGTTAGTACTTCAGATAATAGCAGGAGTTCCTGGAAATGCAACAGGGATTATCATAGTCTACAGTGCTAGGTAGAAGATGCAAAGAAAAGGCCTTGTTTAGCCTGGCAAAGGAAAAGGGAAGTCATAGACATATTTTGACGGCTCATGTTCCCTATTAGGAATAAGCTTCCAACTCTAAGGATCAATGGTCATTGGAGTGGATTGCTTGGGGAGCCTCTGTCTTCAGAAGAGTTTAGAACAGCTCAGGCAGTTCTCAGGAATGGATTAGGTACAGCTGTTCTTGTCTTGGGGCTGGGGGCCAATCTATATCATCCCTCAGTGGCCCTTCAGACTCTGCTATCAGTTGTTCTAGTGCGTTGGTCCCATCCTGAATCACCCTATTGTAACTATGGGTATGGTTTTGCAGATTTTTCCTACTGACTCAATATGAAACTAGCTAGTCCCAGCTATTTTTAACTCATATTTTCTTGAAAGACTTGCTTTTTTTACATAGCAGTTGATAGCCTCTCCAGAACAAAGATTAGATCACCTCCTTTACAGTCCAAAATTGATCTATACATCTGCACAAAAACCAACCTTAGTCCTGTGAAGAGGGTAAGTATGTAAACCTGTTCTTCAAGTACTCACTGCTTTTGTAGTGCCTGTATTTGCACAGCATTTTAAAAGCCTGTTCCTGGAAACACTCATATTCTCTTCCATGCCTTTATGTTAGTGGTTGAGCAGATGACTTACAGGATAGGTTACTTTAAACAAGAATTATACATCTCTGAGATGGTAATGCCTCCTTGTACACCAGCATTTTTTAAAGTGGGGATTAGACACAGTGACAATATATATATATACATATATATTTAATATGGTTTATGGACAATTACTTTATCATTGTAAATGACCTAGCAATGTAATTGTAAATGTTTTGTAAATGACACTAAATAAGAACTAGTCCAAAGTGAAAGAATAACCAATCAAAAAAAAAAAAAATCCAAACCTGAAATTCCTATTCATGGATGTAAGCACCAGTCATGTTGCTCTGTAGCTTTACTTCAGCTGGTTTATCCTGCTTGTTTCTGTCAAGCACAGCCACAGCACTGAATTCTTTGTTCTAGCTTCTTGTCTAGTCCTTTATAGATTTTAATGAACTAGTTTCACATTTAAATACATTAGCTTCTTTGAGACTGCTTATTATTTTGCATCTCTTTAGAACTATTAAGATCTACTGTCAGACTTACTGTAGGTTTCTAAATTTCAAAGTTCCAGGATTAGTGCTGGTGTTTTAGCCTTGGAACTTGCTTCAGAATTCTGTTAGGGATATGAGAATTTGGAGCTTCAGAGCACAATGTGGTTCCCTTCATTTTTTGTTAAGTTATCTGGTTTTCTCTGTTTGTCTCCTTTTTAAGGGGAAGTCTGCCTTTTTTTTTTTTTTTTTTTTTAATTTGGCCTACCTTTTTCTGTTCAGATACATTGCTGCCATATTAGTAGCAACATGTACTTTTAAAGATAATGTAAACAGATAAATATAACAACATTTTTGATTAAAAGCCAATGTACTGTAATGTGCTATCTGTTTACCAAATATTTGTCTTGGTATCAGCCAAGATGAAACAGCCTGCTTAGACACCTTCTTTTTTTCTCAGTATACCAGCATGTATTTTCTTCGCTATATAAAATAACTCGAGTCTTGTTCATAGTCCTCATACTGCACAGACTAAAAGTGATGTTTTTCAGGCTTCTAGGTAGCAACATCAGCCTAAAGAAAACTTGTCACTTCATCCCTATCCTAACCCCAGTCCACACGCAAATCTTCAAGTTAAAGTTCAAGTTTGAGCTAGTGTGCTTGGCAGAAATAGGTTGTTTGACACTAAAGCTACAAACACTGTAGAGATTAGTTATCTAACAATTACAACAGTTTATCAGCTGCTAATCCAATTAGTGTGTATGGCTTCACTGTTGCATGCTCTTTTAGTCCTCTCAGGCTCAAGGTAGGCAGTTAAACTTGCAGGAAAGACAAGCTCTAAAAATTCTCTTAGAGGAGGATGAGTAAATCACTAAATATCCCAAGAGTAATCTAAATGCTATGATCACTGGTGCAGGCAGTATGTAATCACATTTTATTGACAACTCCTAAAGATCAGTCTTCCTTTGAAGCTGCCTAGAGTGAAACTGAATAGAGTGTAGCTAGAGGACCTAATGCAGCATACAGCGATGAGACCTGATCTGGCACCAAATGAGCTGCCTTAGGTAAGGGAAGCACTATAAGCCTTTCAGCACAGTGCAGTGCATTGGCCTGCATTCACTTCTGTGAATTTACACCATATCCTCAGAGACGACCGTTTGTATAGAGTGTGGCAGTTTGCTTACACAGAGCCATGACTTTTAGCACATCTAGGAACTTTAGGTAGTATGTTTTTTGGACGGGAAAGGCAAAGGCTCTGTAAGTCATCTTGTAATAGAAAACTTACAAGTACAGTTTCTGTATAAATAAAAGTTGTATCTTAAACATTTTTTCAATTCTTGTTTGAACAATTCAATAATCTCATCAATTCCTTTTTAAAAATGCTGTGCTTCCATGGATACAGGTTTGGGAAGCCATATTTCATCTCATAGTAAGTTATCAGAGCTTTATAAACACCTGAATACAATACTGGAAAAACACTGACAAGAATCTTAAGGACAGGCTGCTACTAGGTACCACCCAACAACCCACAAAGCAATTCCACTTACCACAATAAATGGGATCTCAAAAATACTTAGCTAAAATGGATATAAATTATTTAATTTTTTAAAAATATAAAGTGAATTATTACCTGTGTCATTTATGTACTGGTGTCAATAATAATTTTATATTCTCTTTCTTGCAGGAGGTGAAGTCACCAAGCCCAGATTTGCTCAGTATTTCCATGGCAGCCTGGCCAGTCTTACTATCTGGCCAGGCAAAATTGAGAGTCAGAAAGTGATTTCCTGTTTGCAGGCCTGCAAGGAAGGTCTGGATATTAATTCTCTTGAGAGTCTTGGCCAAGGAATAAAGGTGAGCGATGAACTGACATCATCTTTGATAAAAATTTAGAGCTGATTTATGAAGTGGAGAGCCCAAGGTGTAGTACACACAGTACAAATGTACTCCTAGAAGCAATGTAATTTCCCATAAACTCATGCAAAGAAAAAATAGAACAGTAAAAGAGCTGTGACACTGCAAAGAAAAATGTTTCCATTATTGCAAAGCTAGATGCTCAGAAAGTAAGGTCCTGCCAGTATTTCAGAGTTCATAAGAATTGCCAGGTCATATTCTCATGCTTATTTTGCTAGTTTTACAGAAATAGACATGATTCCAAAGAATAATTTAATTTTGATCTCAAGTAGCTTTAAAGCAATGGAAAACATAAGTGGCATATCTTTCATCTAGAGGCAACTCTGAAAGAAGTCCCAATGCAACAGTATTGAAAAATTCAGTGTGTTCCAAGAGAAATACAATGATATGGGACATGAAAATTGGAAAATAAAAAAGCCTCAAGTCAAGAAATTAAAATCTTACATTTGCATGTAAATCATTATCCATCTTCATCGTGCATATGACTATCTTTACTTGATACTATAACACTTTTACTAAGAGAGGAGAACAGACAGAGGGAAATCCTATTCCAATTGACATAGTGGCCACATTGCTTTGTATTCATTAAGATGAATTCTGTCCTTTTGGATATATGGGTAGCATTTTGACTATAACTTCTTACATGAGATACATTGTCAGTTCCCCTTTACAGATATCATTACTAGATGACAGGTGTTCTTCTACCTAATGTGTAAAAACACAATTAAGCTATTTCCTAGCACACAAATCACAATACCAACTTCCAAAGGAGCTGAGCTTCAAATTCAAACTGGAAAGATACTTTGGCTGTGGACTACGCATCCTGTGACACTGCGCAGGTGGCTTTTTAGTGTGTTTTTTTCCAGTGGAAAGGAGGATGGTGTTGTAACAGTTGATCTAGAGCATGAAGTGGAAGTGCCATGTACTAAGTTTTATTAGCTAAATCTTTTCATTGTACAAGATAGGACACTGACCTGAAATACAATGAAATGTCTGTCTAGGTGATAAGTTGCAGTAGTGTAGTATAACCAGTATGTTTTCTGAAAACAAGGGTAAAAATGAAAATTGAAAGTGCAAAGGTAAGGAAGAATTTTGCTAGCTCTAGCTTTTACATATGAGCAAAACATCCCAAAGGATTTTTAAATTCAGCCTACAAAGGACATCTTTAAGAATTTCACATTTTTACTTCTCCCAGCAAAGTGACACACTTATAAGTAATAGCTATTTTTAAAAGACAACGCATGCAAAGAGCAGGTAGGGTTTTCTGGAACCAAGTGTGTATGCCTACCAGTAAGTTCTTTGTTGGGTTTTTACATTAATGAAAGCAATCCACACTTGGTCCATGATGCTTAAAAGCATGGTAATTCTTCCCCTCTTGTTGTGTTGTCACACTCTGAAACTTGACAATATTTGAGTAGTCTTGTTTCATGGGCTTGGAAAAAGCCCTGTTATACCACCCACTGCAGCTGCAGCATGGGTGATTGGCTTCCTTACTGTAAAGGCAGTGCTGTGGGGAAAATGAAGATGAGGGATTGTTTTCTGTCTTTTCTTTCTTTTACCAAACTTAAAACATTTTAATTTTCAAAAATACAGATGAGGCATAGTGGTTTTTTAAAGTAACTGTTTTCATTTTTACTTCCTCAGAAATTTTAACAGTCAGTGCAACGGTAGGAGGCAAAAATGAAAGCAACAGTCAGAGATAGATTGTGGTAGGGTTTCTTATTAGGGCTGACAGAAAGAAACTCAGATGAAAGCAGAACAGCTGACACCTGACCTTGAAGAGATTAATAAAGAGAAAGGGTTTCTTGTGTCAAAAATAAACATACCTGATCTCAGACAAGCATGTGTGACAGTTGCACAGACGATGTTCTGTGTGGCTATTTACATAGTGCTTAGCAGATCCAGTGTTGGCAAACTGATGTTGGAAGGTGTTTCTGCTGGGCACTTTGGACTCATGAAGCTTCATCCTTTAGTCACCTAAGAAAGAGCAATGCAGCTGTAATACTGTTTCTGACACAGTAGTGCTGGACTTCTTTTGTCTGCAGCCTAATTTTCAGATATCTGTAACAGCTCGCAGAAACACTGTCTAAACTGTTGCTATTTTTAGCCTTTTTTTAATGAGAAAGACAAAAATGGCTCAGACGAGGGCTTTCTCCAGTCCCTTTGGCAGCATTCCAGCTGTTCTGGCAGCTGAGCTATTAAGTTAACTAGCTAGCTAGAGTCTCCTTTTGCTAATTTTATTTTCTAATACTGCTTGCTTACAGAAAGGACAAAGATGTGTATGCAGGCTGTGACTCATGTTAGTCCTCCTCTTTGTTAAAAAAATACTCTTCACTGTGTTATGACCTTCCTGCACAAACTTTAAACCTGGTTCTCTGTGTTCTGTTTGACGGTAAACCCAGTGCTTCATTCTGTTCTTCACAGTCTGTCTGCTCTTTTGCTTTTTAACCTTTCTCATTATAAGGAAGTGTAGACAACCATTGTCTGTATATAATAGAACATGTTCATATAATCAATATCCCGCTTTGGGAAGGGACTGCATGTGAGAGAAGGGTGCATTTCTTTGTGTTTTGTGCTGACACCAGTAGGGTACAAAATCAAGGGAAGCAATCTGGTTTTCTCTGCAATGCAGATGGTTTGCTGAACCAATTAACACACAAAAAAAGTGGAATCGGGATGAACTGTGATGAAGACAAAAATCAATCATTTGCTATGTGGATATAGTAGCAGAGTTTTTTGGTCAGCAAGACTGTTTCATGTTCAATGCAGTGGATGAGAGAAAGATCAGGGCTACAAGAAGAGCCATTGACTTTGCCAGGCTTGTCAGCTCAAATGAGCAGCTGGCTTTGTGCAAGTAGGAGCTCTATCTTAAATCACAACACTCTTATTGATCATGAGACAGAGACAGGCGAATCCCCTTTATTGTGTCTGACATTAATGAAGATGTAGGAGGGAAATGTTACAATTGTTTTGTTCGTTCATGTTGAAATATATCTCAGAAAGATAGCCCAGGGCAAAACCAAACAGAAAGCAGGAAAATTATGCTTCTGCATTGTACTCTGGTTTAAGCCAGTATTTTTACGTAAGGGATGTGTTTAACCTAAAAAAAAATACATAGTACTAATAATGTTGACAGTAAGTTAGGGTTTTGAAATCTACCGCTGCAGAAATAGTATCAGCAAAGTTGATAAGGGTGGGCAAAGTAGAGCAGAGCAGGATTAGTTTACTATAAAATTTATTATAACAGTAGTTATTCAGATACGAAATAGATGACTGATACATGTTTTAGGGAACAACACATGGATTCAGCCAACAATAGCTACTAAGAATTTTTTTGTCTTAAATCATTAGACTTTAAACTTCTATCCATACAACATTCATTAAAAATGTCTTATTTTGTACTCAGTACCTGGTACCTTAAATACTAATTATATGCATTTCCCCCAGTATCACTTCAACCCTTCCCAGTCAGTCCTTGTCATGGAAGGAGATGACATTGAGAATATAAATCAAGCTCTCCGAAAGGTCTCATACATCAACTCTAGACAGTTTCCTACTGCAGGCGTACGACGTCTCAAAGTCTCATCTAAAGTCCAGTAAGTTATACTTCAGCTGAACTGATTAGATTAGGAATATTTTTAATGATTTACTTTTTTCTTTGGACATGTAAAAAGAAGAATTTTGGCTAAATTACATTGATAAATCATAATGGATGAATTTAATTTACTTTTATGCTGAGTTACATTGTGGTTTTCTTTTGATACTGTCTTTTTAGGAAACTTTTCTTGTTAATGTAATTTACTTGCATTCTGTTTACAGTCTGCACTGAACAGTTGTTGCATTTATTGTATTCTTATTTTACTGTTCATTTTAAAAAGTTATAGTTGCTTCTGAGATAGCTAGAGCCATGGCTTTTTAAAGCAGGCCTATCACATCTAACAGACAACGTAACTGCAAGAACAGTACTTGCAGCTATGCTTGAAATTGTCTATGTCTGTATCCTTATATGACTGTCATCACTGAAGTACTGGTGTTGGGTGTTAAACAGAAATCCATGTCCTTCCATTTTCATCCAACAACAGTGACAGAACCTGCACAATAATGTTTACAGTTCTACATAATCAAAGAGCCATCTGCCACTCCTGAGCTCCCCTGGGGTATGTCTCTGTTATAACAGTTGTGCAGTGCAGTGGAAGCAGATATTTAGAGTGAAAATAAACATCATTTCTACGAACCTTCTTCTACTGCATGTACAGTTCTTACTAAGTACTAAATTTAGTCTAGTCTCCAAACCAATTGTTTGGAGAATATCTTCTGATGTAGTTTCACTGGAAACAGCCCAGTTTGCACACTCCAAGGGTAGCCCAAGACTTGTGCTAAGATGAAGTAAGGTAGAGTTGGTCAGGAGATTAACTTCCATAGCACAGTGATAATTCAGATGAAGATACTAATATAGGCCCCTTTTGTGCCCAGTAAATGCTGAGGCATGCCAGAATGAGTTCATAATGGGTCCAATTTAAATGGATAATACAGCCCTTTTATTCACACATGGCAAAATACCATATTGTACTCATTAGCTATGACTTTGAGAACTTAGTGTTAGGTTTAGTAAAGTTAGTTGTTATCTTCTAATTATTTTTAAAGCATTTATTACTTTGTTAAATATCAGTTTAACATAAAAATACTATTCTCGTGATGACCTTACTAAAGACTGAGCTTGTCATAACTCTGTTTGCTAAGCTATCCCTACATAATTTCAGTAGTTGTGCATGTGGGAGAGGAGGAGAGGAACAGCTATATGTCACTGCTGGTCTATGTACATGGTGGCACAGATGCATGTTGTTATGTGTGGCAGTGCCAAAGTATGGAATAGACTGATCTGAGACAACAAAAAAGGATGAGAGCCACCAAGATGGTTTTGGGTAGTGCAAGTGCCACACACATCTAATGTGTGATGTGTTACATGCAGTTAATGAATATATATTTTTTCAGATGTTTTGGTGAAGACGTCTGCATTAGTATCCCAGATATAGATGCCTATGTAATGGTGTTGCAGGCCAATGAGCCCAAGATTACAATAAGTGGGATGGACCACTTTGCTAGACCAGCTGCACAATTTGAAAGTGAAAGAGGTGTTATTTTGTTACCTGACATCAGGATTGTCAGCACAGTCACTAAAATGGAGCATCCAGTGGCCTTAAAAGAACAAGACAGAGGTTTGTGGATTTCTTTTAAATATTATTACTTGTTCTGTAACATGACCCCTCAGATTTTTTAAAGGATAGTGCAAAGGAGGTCACTTCACCCAGATTAATTTACTCAGTGTTAGGCAGCAGTAATGCTGTACTGAAGCCATTCAATAAAACACACTGAAAAATGTGTTAAATAGTGATTGATCAGTATGTGCTTCAAAAAAAAAGCAGTTTTTCAATTTATTGTCTTGCCTACTTCAGAATAATTCCTTTCCACTCTTCTTTACATATCCTGGTGAATAACATATTTTTATTAGAATCTCTCTATTTGTAATGGAATTTTGTTAATTGTAGCGATAAAGTGGAAAGCAGTAATTGACTAATAGCCAGAGTTTTAGTCTGTTCCTATGTTTCCAGCTCTTCTACTGACTTGTGGGTGATACTTGAGAAAGTAATCTTGTGCTTCAGTTTCCTACCTATCTAATGTGAATATAATTTAAAAGATTTTTTTTTCAATTATGACAGTTTGTTCTAATGCTCAATAATGTGTGTAGTATTATTTGACACTAGGTCAAATATAAAATATATTTATATTCAAAAATATAAATAAGGTTTATGTCTATAAAGGAATCTTCCTTTTGGATGTTTGTGTACAAGGTAACTGAAAAGCCTAGTAATCTGAGGAATCATTCTTAACAATATTTGTTGGACTAGAATAAGCAACAACTAGATGTACATCTCTTGAAAAGATAAAACTGCTACTGATGTGCAAGTGTAGGGGCATGGATTCCCTAAAGCTGTACCCTATAATAATGCTGCTTATTACCTGCCTGAAACTGCATCTGTTCTCTGAAGGCTGGAAAGTGTACCATATCATAATATCAACTGCATACAATTACAGTATCTAAAAAAATGAATTCTTGCATAGAAAAGTGGGATGATTATCCATCACTTAAGACACAATGTATGTATGACGCTCCATGTTCCTAAATATTATGACATCTTCAGAGTTGTTCAGTGAATTAGGAACTACTGCCCTCTAGTTTAGTTCATAAGTTTTGTCTGTCCTAATTTATCACAATACAATTATTGACATAATTACTGTTGTAGCACCTTGTAACCTAAAAAGCCTGAGACTCACCTTGAAAAGGAACATAGCAGCATTTCTTAAACTACTGTTTAATTCCTTGAAAGTCAGGCATCTCCTCATGTGCCATCTCTTGTTTATTTCCACTAAGAATGGTTAAAATGGATAGATAATAATTGACATTGGGAATAAGTGTGTTTTGCAAGAGATTATTGAATTCTAGGTCTCAATTCCTGCATTATAAACTTGAATTGTTATTTCTCTCAGCCCAGATATTATCTGACAAAGGCTTGACCTATATCTACCTATAGCTATTTTTCCACTTACTGGGAATTTACATAACCTGATCATCATGACTGTAGCAGAGATGCACATGGCAAGTCTGAGAAGGCTGATTTAGTCACCATGTATTCCCCAGTCACAGGACCAGTTAGGTATGTCTCTCATCAAAAGCAGAGCAGGCAGTTGCCACAGGCAGCAGCATGACTATGGCTCTGAGGCTTTTTTTACTTGCAGAGGGCCCACAGAATGCCAATATGTTGCTGCTTGCCCTGCCCCAGTAGAGAAATCAATGGGACTCCAGCAACAGCTAAAATTGCTGCCCCTACCTCTCCTGTTTGCCCACTGACAGCCAGAGCAGCAAAGCTAATGAGTTCAGGCTTTTGCCTCTCCCTGCAGCCCAGCTCTTGCCTGTCTCTCATAGCTTCCCATGAAAAAGTCCAGCTCATCAGCTTTAGCAATATTCAGATATGCCTATCCTGCAAATTGAGTTGGGTCTGCATTTTTGGATAAATTAGAGCTGTACCTAGAGTTCAGATACCCAAACTGACTGTACACAAGGTGGGAATCCAGGGCATAAAACTTTTCTGTCTGTGCCTTCCTTCCCCATACACCCTCTAAAATGAAAATCACAAAATGGGCACTAAGTTCCAAGATTGCAGTCTTTGCATCTACAGTACCCTCAGGGAGCTGGTTAAGCAGTCTTGCCAGACACTCTGTGCTAAGTAAACGGACCAGAGAATTAAAATATTAAATTGGTATGCTACTCTTTTTCCAGCAACAGAATTTTTTTTTTAATAGTGCATACTGAAGGATAGTCAGTTTATAACTCAATTTCTCCAAGTCACACAACACAGGATCTTGCCATTTATGATAATACCATGTTCTTGGATAGATGGCCATGTTCTTTGTAATGCAAATTCTTTATGGGCCATAGAGTAACTGAGAGAACCATCGAAGCATATATGTATTTGACATGAATTTTTCCAGTTCAGTTTTCCTTGAGAAAAGAATGAATGTGTGATGCCAACCGGCTGTCACTAGAGTATTGAAAAATAGATTTGGTTACATGGATTTATTTCCAGGATTAAATTTCAGTTTTCTACTTCCAGTACTGTTCTTGAATGCCTTTTATTACAGAGCAATACATTTTCTATCTGTTTCACTAAGTAGTTGTAGGCCTTCATTGTAGCACCTGAACAGGCAAGACACTTTTCTTTTGATTTGCTTCAAGTGTGCTGTATTTAATATCAGCAAAAAACCAATTCAGCCATCTGTGCAAAAATTGAAAGCTCTGATGCAAAGCACATAAAATGACTGAGCCGTTCTGTGATCATTTATCTTAGTTTCTTTCTTCTTTTTCTCATGGTATATGCCATGTTTTCACAGCCAATAAGCCAGTGGTATTAGAGGAAATGCTCCACAACTTGGATTTCTGTGATATTTTGGTCATTGGTGCAGAACTAGATCCCGAACAAGAATGTTTAGAACTAGATCATGTGGAGCTTCAAGGAAAACATCTGGATGCCACAAATTCCACAGCAGGATATTCAATCTATGGTATGTTCTTGGACTTTGCTTTCCCATATTGCTTCCCACCAACAGTTATGTTGTTAGAATGAAAGAACTAATTTGAAAGAAATTAGAGCGAAATCTGTGATGTACTAGCTGTAAAATATTCCAGGAGAGACTGTGTCTCAAAAAGCATAGTCACTTCTTGATCTCTGGGTGTGCTGTGTTTATCCTTTGGAATATATCACAGCTTTGCCTTGATCTCAGCACCCTCCCCTGCTACTCCTCAGATGAAGAAAATGGCAACGCTGCTTGCTTTAAACATGTGAGTTCTTGTGGACCATCACAGTGGAACATGGGACATCACAGCTTTGCCTTGATCTCAGCACCCCCCCTGTTACTCCTCAGATAAAGAAAATGGCAACGCTGCTTGCTTTAAAAGTGTGGGTTCTTGTGGACCATCACAGTGGAACATGGGAATGAGGGGATTCCTCAATGCCCCTGCACAGTGCTGGTAACTCACTGGCCATTTTTTTTATAATTACTAAATAAGTTATTTTAACTCTTTGCTGTTGTATTTGTTCCTCTCAATTATGGACCTACATTAATTTCCAAAAACTATTCTCACATAATTTATTATCAGTCAGAGGCTCATCAGGGAATATTTGATGCACTGCCATTTTCATATAATTCTGCCAAATTTTGTATTTTTTGTGAACATTTTATTTCTCCTGTACTGCACAAAAGCATTTGTAATTGTAGCATCTCTTTGAGATTATTACTGCTCTACCACTGTTTCAGGTGTGGACAGCATGCAAAACTATGAACAGGTTCTTCGGCAGATTCGATATCGTAACTGGTACACTTCTGCCACCTTTGACAGAAAGTTCAGAGTCAAGTGCTCAGAGCTAAATGGGCGTTACACTAGCAATGAATTTAACCTGGAGGTAAGCATTAATTTAGTCAAGTTTTCTTTTCCAGCAATGAGGCTGGGCACCAGCCTTATCTCCAGCAACACAGAGTTTTCTTTCAAATAAGTAAAAGGATTGACACATTCTGGTAACTATAATCAAATAGAGGAAAAATTCTAAATTCCATTGAAATATGAAGTCGGCTTCTGTGGGCATTCCTTAGCACATGGGTCTCTATTCTGCTGTATATGTAAGGAGATGAACTCTACTAACACAGAAAATTACAGCTATTCAAACAGAATGGAGGCTAAGGGAATAGTTGTTTTTCCATGATGTAAAAATCTCCTACAGGTCTTTTTGAAGATGTATACACCTGCTCAAAAGTAAATCATTACAACCTCATTATTTTCCTTAGATTGGTTGTTTTTTTACTTAACCTGACATACTTTTCTTTCCTGCAGCATTCACCTTTTCAGTTTTTCCAAGCAATACCCCCTTACAGTAAGTTTTATCATTTGTTCTTCATCAGATGGAGATAATTCCTAGTAATTTACATGATTTCAGATTTCTTTGAGGAGGAAAGTCAGTATACAGGTAACAAACATATAGGATGGATTTCATCTGTCATATTCTCTTGGATCGACTACCCAGACATGGTCAGCTACCACAGGAATATTTACATAGCTCTCTTGAGCTTATGTGTGCTGGTACTAATCCAGTGTAGCACAGTGGCTCAGGGACTGGGAGATACTGCTGATGCACCTCAGCAGGCATCATGGACCTATTCTGAAGAGCCAGCTTACCCAGCCTAGAAGCCAGGTACCAAGTAACCACAGGAAAGGGGCACGACCTTCCTGTCAAGAGGCTCAAAACTTAATAATTGGTTCTGAAAGTTTTTATGTCTTTATGTTGTATTGAAAATTCTTTTCACCTTAGCATTCTGCAGCCCTGACAATGACTTCAGGGCTTTTGCTTATAACATAACTATCAGTAGGACAGAGCACTGATATGTCATCTTCAAAGAAGTCACTCTGAAGGTAGGGACATGGGAAAAATTGAAACCTCTTTTAATTCTCTCTTACTATTTTGGTTTTAAACTCAATGAGCTTAACACAATCTCTATCAGTGTTCATAGTGACAAAACTCCTCCTAACTTTCAGGGAATGCCTAAAAGATGATTCTCTATCAGTGTTCAGAGTGACAAATCTCCTAACTTTCAGGGAATGCCTAAAAGATGATTAGTATAGAGGAAAAAAAGAGTCACCATTTATCCAGACAGGTAAATTTAAAAAATGTTTTTCTGTGACACTTCATAGTCTACAGCTGGAAATGTTAGAATGCATTTTTAATGCTAGAAATGAGAAATATATTAACTTCTGTATTTTTCATTGGCATAAAAAAGTGAATTTGGCCTTTAAGATCCACATAATAATCTTCTTATCTGCTGATGAACATCATAGTTCAAGGTAATGTATGGAGCCGGCAGGCTTGGAATATAGAGCACTTTTTAGTACCTGATCTCTTATTTTTCTCTTGTGCCAGGTTAATATTCTACACAGCTCCAACTCCAACTTCATGGACCATGTAAATCATATGATGGTACAACCACAATTTCTCCAACCCATCCACCACCCAGAGGGAAGCATCAGTGCTGTTCACAACTCAGGTATGTGACAACTTTACAGAGACCACTTATAATGATTCTGCTATGTCAGTATTTCCCTCATGATTCAGCCTGGTCAACAAATAAAGCCCTAAAGTCCATAGTTACTGCTTGTGAAACCTCATAGAGATTGTTGCACAGGTATGAAAGAAGGTAACATTGAATTCTGTTCTTTCTTTCCGAGGAGGTACTTTCCAATTAAAAACTGGTATTCTTTTTTTAAAGTCTTCATTATAGGTTATGTACTCTCACCCACATAGTTAAGAAAATGTCTTGTTTCTAGTAATGAATGGTAAGAGGGATAACATTCATGCTCATATTGTCTTTGTGCATCTGTATTTTTTATGGCATATTAATTTCTGCCCACCCCTGTCTAAGGAAAAGGAAGGAATGTTTGTATTATTTTTTTTTTAAATATAATTGCTACAGTGCTTCTGTTAGCCACTGTCCAGGCCTCAGTCTCGAGCTCTCTGGAGTGAAGACAGGTCCACTAGCCATGTGCAGGGGGCTTTAATATATATTAAGTACAGAGTTTAAATTGAATTTTTAGACTATATGAGGTAAAATACATACCCAAATCTGAGGCCTTTTCAATTAAGTTAAACCCAGGGCAAAGATATCTATTGAACTACTGGATTCTGAAATCCTTTCAGCTGAATGACACAAATGTAAAGAAATAAAGCTGATGTTAAGTGTAGGTAGCTACAAGTAGTTATATACAGTTATGCTTAGAAAATTACTGTATTTTTCTGTACACTTGTACAGATATTTTACTAAAATGAAAATTATTTTTTACAAAATGAACTGTTACAAACTGGTTCTTTCTTCTTTACTTTAATGTTGTTCTGATTTCAGAGTTCCATTCTTGCAGGCAGGGCAAGGTGATAAAATGGGGTACAGAACTACTATAGCTCCTGGAACTGTGGTACCTAGGAGGCAGTAAAGGTACATAGAAAATGGCAGCGCTTCTCCACTAACCTAATTATGGAGGTGATAATATAAGAGTAGTTCAGGGAGATTTTTTTTCCTGTTACTAGGTGGAGACAGAGGCTTCTCAGAGTGCAGCGGAACAGTGAGGAAAAATGACTTGAATACTCAAGAGTCTCCCAGGAAGGTTGTAACACAGGCAAATAGAGTGACAATGTGTTATTTCATTTCCTGGGGCCTGAGATTTAAATAATAATACAAATGTTCAAAACCTTTGAAAATATAAGCTTTGAGATATTCTTTTTCTCACAAGTGAGGCTATTAATGCCTCAGCTGTAATCTGAAGGAGACAACATGCAGGTAAGATAACTGAACCTTATCGCAGAAACACTTGTTCTGAAACTATTTGATTCTGCACTGATTGACTACTTGTCTTCTGTAATAAAGTGGCTTAAAGAATAAATGGTAGGCATACTGACTTTTTAGTTATGATTTAAAATTATCATTATAAGATATCTGTAAACACCATTCGTGTATGCTCTGCCTTAGTAGGTGGGTATGTAACACTTTCTGTAGTCCCAGGGACATGGCAGATGGCTGTGCTGATTCTCACTCCAAAGAAAGAGGTGCTGAGGGGAAAAAATAGACAAGGTATTTAGTGTTTTGTAGGTAATTTGTTCCACAAATATAAGCCCATTCTCTTTTCCACCTTTTGTTCTAGTCGTTCCAAGTGTGGCTACTATCGTTATCATAATCTGTGTGAGCATGCTCTTTTTCATCATAACCTTGGGAGTCTATCGAATTCGAACAGCTCATCAGCACAGCTCTGCAGACAATGAAGGAAGTAAAGAAAACGAAATGGATTGGGATGATTCTGCTCTGACTATTACTGTCAACCCCATGGAGGTACATGACTGAGGCATAGTATGGTATCATGATACTACCAGGAGTTGCTGTCTGGGCTGGTGGCTTACTCAGCAGTGAGTTTTAAGCATCTTTCAGAGTGTACTTGTTTAGGCTTGGCAGAACAGTTGTATGTATGTACACTCAGAACCCCATCTCAGTTTTCAGCTCCACACACCATCATAATATATAATTGGGCATTCAATATTTGCTGTCATATATAATTACTAAATAAGATGGTGAAGAAGTGGGAACAACATCACTTCCTCTCCATCCATATTTGCACCCTAGGTACATAAAATGATACCACTGCTTTGTTTTTAACTTTTTAATGTAAGCACTAATGCACTAAAAGGAGGGGAAATGAAGGATGTTGAAGGGTTAAATTTTGGCAGCTTGACTAACAAAGATATTGTTTATTGATATTCCATTCTTGTTACAGTAGTTTTTGAATATTTGCTAATGTATCATATTTGATGCCTAATAGTCACATAACGATGTCAAAGCAGACTTTCCCAGCATGGTAGTGTATTTAAATATTGAATAAATGCTCACATTCTCACAGCCCTTGACTAGCAAAAAGGCACTTTTCTTCTACTATCTCTCTTTCATTTCTTTAAATGTACTGTAGAAATATGAAAAGCCTCACCAGACAGAAGAGGAGAGTGAGGAAGAAGACATAGAAGATGAGGAGGAAGACACAACCAGTGCTGAATCAGATGAAAGTGAAGAGGAGGAGGAGGAGGAGGAAGAGGAAGTGATTGTTCAAAAGGGAGACAAACCGAATGCCACCAGGCAAGAGCAGTTGGAGTGGGATGATTCGACACTCCCATACTAACAGCCCTCGAGCGACATTGCTCTTTTGTAACAAACAATACAATGTTTTTTCAGAGTCTATGAATTCATTTACAGGATTTGAACTTCTGCTTGCCTACAACTGTTTTGCCTAAAATGATCTCCTTGTAATTGGTAATGATAGAACTGATCCTTTTCTTACAAAGTCTGGAGAAAACATGGTGGAAATATACTGGCATCACCAGTAATAAAGTAATATAGAACTTGATCTGTTAGCAAGCGTAGCTCTCAATTTCCTGTTTCTATACCACAGATATGTGACAAAAGTCCTGTCACTCAATCCATAGAGGTTTTGCCTTTGTTTCTTTTCTCATACAGGAGCAATTTCAGCTTGTTATGAAGAATTACTTGTGTGGGTCCAAATAACAGTTGTCACTTGACTTCACACTCTTACAGGTGTAAAATATAATCCAAATTGGGGCAGAGTTTTAGTGCTACAGGTGACAGAGGCTGAATTCCATTTGTTGTCTCATCCTGTCTTCACGGATGTTAACTGTCTTTTACAAGGGAATATCTAGGACTTGACATGGGATCATCTGTGCCTGTGTAGAAGTGGACAGTGTGTTTTTTCAGGCATGCTGTCAGAACCCTCAATACAGGAATTTTATCCAACCCACTCATAGAAACTTAAGAGAGTTTAAAAAAACCAGCAACAACAAGGGGCTGCTGAAGGTTAAAAAAAAAATCATACCATGTTGAGTAATATGATCTTATGCAAACTGTAAATTCTAATGGACTGATTTACTGAAAACCTGCAGAGCTGCTCATTAGTTATGGATTGAGCAATTTGCAGCAAATCGATGCTTTAAACTGTCTGTCTTGTAAAATCATTAGCTTGCTGCAGTATCTTACTGAAGTAGTGGAAAATAAGTGAGACCATTATTCCATAGCTGTGTATGGTTGGGATTTAAACAATGATTTTACATGAGGAAAATATTCCCTTTTGCTTTAGTAAATGCCAGCTGGAATTCCTGTCTGACTGTATTCTGTAAAATGTTATGCCCTATTTCTTCTGCACCCTTACCCACCTGTGAGCAGCACAAGAGAAAGTGACAACATATGCAACTGTCAGCTCTCTTTTTTGCTCATAATGCTCCCTTATTTCTTCTTCCTAAAGCCATTAATGTTGAGGAAGGGTTTTATAAATTAGAACAAGAACAAATAAAACCTACCTGGAACCAAAAGAAGTGAAAACAAAAACTAAACACTTGAGAGGTTGAAAGAGTATTTTAGTTTGTTATGGTAACACAACATATTTTTCTTAAACACTGTTTAAAAGGGGCAGGGGGTGGGGAGCTAAGCTATGTACAATGTGTTGGTAAGTCTGTGTGGTGTGGTTTTTGTCTCCTTTCCCTAATTATCTTTGCATCTCCAAATGTTCTGCATACCAAATAATGCAGAACTTGCTAGGATGACTGCTCTAATGTATAAAAAACCAAAACAGCATGGAAGTTAATGTTGCCTAGTGGCTTGTCTGTTTTTTTTTTTTTTTTCTAAGTACTTCCTTTTCTTTACAATTTCATCGATTTTTGCTTTTGCTTTTGTAATTTGCTGTTTAAAATGAGCTGCTTCCTCTTCTCCTCTCATCCAGAGAAACAAGCAGTCAGTCTTGCCACAGCAGGACCTTCCTGAGCACCCATGAATGGTAGTTGATATTGCAAAGATTAACTTGAGCAATCTTGAGAGTATCCACCTTCCTCAAAACTAAATTACAGTAGCTCCTGGACATCTTGGAATATAGAGAATATATTGTGGGTTTGGGGGTTCTTTTAATTCCAGTTTCTGCATCTGATTGTTGCAGGGAAAGACTGACAGCAACTAGACCTTGTAGTTTAAGAACTAGAAAGTAAACAAAAAGAACTGTAATTTTAAAATGAATTTAGAGATCTTCATGCTCTTTTTTGTTGTGCCAACAATCATGTTGACACGTGATTGTTAAGACTGGAAATACAGAATTTTTCTTATAGGTTTATTTTTATTCTGGTCTCCCATATGTGTTAAATTTACTTACAAGAACATTTATTTACAGAATCAAGCCCACATAAATACAATTTATCTGCAGGAATAAAGATTGTAGATTTGCTGAAAATTTCTTTTTAACAAAAAAATAAATTAAAAATTTCCTTATATCTTTAACAGGAATTTTATGTTAGATAGTTTCCTAGCATCCTAGTATCCTAAATAATTTTCTAGTGTTAATTTTTGTTAGTGACATGAAGCGGGCTCTTCATGGTGCTTGATATCAGCACATATCAGCAAATGTTCAGAAAAAATCACATGTTCAGGAAAAAAAAATAAAAATAAATATTTAAAAGTCAATTTCAGATTTAAGACTGGACTTACTTAAATTATTATTAAAGTTTCTGTTATTCCTGATTATTATCATTGTTATCACAGCAAACATCAGGGCAACCTGAAAACAGCAATTTACAACCTTATTGACAGCTTTTAATTCTTTTATACGTTCATGTCTTCATCACTGTGTTTCTCCACCTAATAACAGATTTTTATCTTTTTGTTACTGGAAGCAAATCTTTTCAGGTCGTACCGATATATTACACAAGAAGCAAAGTATTTTCTCTACTGTAAATAAACCTACATTTTTAAACCTAAGCAAAGTAATATAGGCATGTATGTTATCACTAAGACTAGGTTTGCAATAAGATATTCAGCAAACTAAAATGTAACGCTGTATTTAATTTAGATTACTCATTGGGGTGCATTATGCAGCATTTTTCATTCAAATAAATGGAAAAATCCTGCTCACAAAATGTTAGTGAGAATGAGATACTTCTTAACAAAATGAACTTTAGAATTAGAGTATTTGTATAAAAGTTGACAACAATGGCTTCATGAGCAAAAGCCTGCTAGTAGAGTAACACAGAAATATCACTTCTTCTGAAATAATTTTAAGAATATTTCTTCCCCTCCATCAATTATTTTTTATGTAAATTACTTGCTTAAAACCAAACCGGATCATATACATATATATACATATACATGCATACACACACCCCACCCCCCCAATGAAAAGCCAAAAATCTTCCTTTCCTCTCTGAAAAAAGTGTTTATGCTGCAAATTCTGAAATGGTAACTGCAGTGTCTGGTTCTTCAAGGTGTAATGTTTTTCCCTAGCCCGTTTGCAAGGCTGAGCTATGAAGACAAAAAAGAGTGACTTTTTTACAGAAGCAATAAACAAGTGCATCCAAAAAACCATCTCTTAAGAGGTACCTGTAATATATGACATAAGGAATCTGTGACACCAGAGGTCTAAATGGCATCACATCCATGAATGCCTTTAAATTTTTGAAATTCTAATCTAAGGCCAGGAAAAGCTGCAGAACCTACAAATGCAAATTCAAGATGGTGATACACTGTGTTATCTGATTAAGTTGCTTTTTGTGATTGATGATAGCTCACATTTCTTTTTCACTTCTATCCCTGCACAGGTATTTTATCTTTGCAAGTAAACCTGAAAATGCACAGTTGTTGAGGGTAATCTCAGTATTTACTGCATTGGCTGACAACAGTTAGAACTACATTAGAAAATTAGAACTAGAAATTAGAACTAGATTTGTAGGGTTCATGACATTTTTAATACTAATTAAAATAAAATGTTTGTTCATTCAAACAGACACTAGTATCCTGCAGTGGTGGCTTGATTGCTTTTTAACTGATGATGATCACCTTTGCCAAGTGGCTACTGGGAAGGTGCAGCTTATTTCCCTTTCTGGTGTGTTGCAGTGCTCGGCTTGTTGCAAGCACGTGCACCATCTTGCTTTATTCAGGAAGAAAAATAAGACTCAGAAAGGGTCAGAGGGTTATAAAGTTCCTCTAGTGGGGATGAAATCCACTGTCTCCATTGCAGGAGCTGTCCCTGCCTGACCCTAAAATGAAAATAATGCCATTCCATGGGACATTTGTAAAGGCAGCTCTTACGCTTTTACCTGGTGGAGATCCCAGCAGGTTGGAACACGACACTTCCTCTTCTGGAAGTTTTGGCACCAGTATGTGCACCACCCCATTTATCTCCACTACCATCCATGTTTAGCAGAAGAGGAGAATGAAAGACTTTACTGAGGTAACAGCAGGTAAAGATCTGGTGAGATGGACTCATGGAGCTCCTCCTGGTATCCTGGAATATACACTATAATACCAAAATTAAGGCAGTTTGCAAAAGCATATGGCTGCTTAGAGAAGGAGAGGAAATTTAACTGTGAACACATCTCCAGGGTTTCAGAAAAGTCTCCTCTTCCCTTAATTCACCTATGCTGACTAGATTAAATATCTCCATACCAGTATATCCCCACCAGTTTTTGTATGCTTATTGAAAATGACAACTAAACCTCACAGCAAAATACAATTTCCACATAAAAAAATTCCAGGAATCTAGCAATAGGCAAATGAGCCAAGTGCTAAAAATCTTGGTGTCTGACATCATGACTATCATGCTGAACTTTTTTGGCAAATTTGCTTCACCTTTGTGGAGTGTAGCTGTTTCCTGGATATATACTGTATACTATTCCTGCACTACTTTTAAAAAACACCAGTAGGTTAACAGGAGGAGACCAGCGCATTTGGCAGAAAAATAAAGGTATTATAGCTTGTAAAAAAGATGTTTTAAATATACTTGGATATTTGTTTCTTGTTTAAATCCTGGCATTGAAAAAATACAATTTCATTAAATAACATTTTGGACAAATATTGATAGTTGCCTGAGAAATAACAGTAATACAAGCAGAATTTTGAAAAAAACATGCACAAACTAATACATTATATTGTGTGTGTGTATATATATATAAGTATATATATATATATATAAAAATGTTTTTTATACATACAAATTTTAAGTAATATTATATGTGGGTGTGTGTGCATATTTTAAAAAATGTATTCTCGAGATTGGGAATACACTTATTGTTTCATCCAGAGTTTTCTATGAAGTTGCATGGATTCAGGCAGCCCATCTAGAGTTGCTCTGGA